CTCTTGCCTTTGACTCTTAATCCTTTGCCCCGTGGGGGCCTTCTCCTCGTCTCCGCCTCGGCACTCACGAACGCTCCTCCGTCCGCCGCCTTTCTCATCCCCTCCTTCCAAGCCGCCCCTGGTCTCCCAACATCATTCGCTGCCTGATGGTCAGTCTCCCGAGAGCCGCGTTCCTGGCCCCTTAAACCTCTCGGGATAGCTCGCCCTCTTTTTTTTTTTTTTTTTTTCTTCCCCTGTCCACAATGCCCCACCCTTGCGGTCGCGGTAGGGCTACAGCTCTTTGCCCTTCTTCCCCAGACCTTTAGTGGTAGCTCAGTTGGGTAGGAGGCGGTTGTTAACCTGTGTCATATCTACCTGACTTAGTAATGCGTGGGTTTCTGGCTTTCCAACTTCATTTACTCCTTTTTTCCGAATCCAGGGAGTTTGTTTTTTGCCGGCAAAGATGGCAACCACAATTGTAGTTTTGCAGAGATTAATTACATTATCTGTAGCCTGCGTTTAATTCCCAGTTGAAGACCATCGGTATCAAAGCATATTATAGGAAGAGAAGGTGGAACTCAGGCTAGGAATGTCAGCTGGACGTCTTTTAGAGTTTTAATAATATCCCCTTAAGTAAAGAAAGAGACCGCATTTTCTTAGAAGGGATTTTTTGCTTGTTTGCTTTTGTTTCTAGAAAAATAAACATATCTCTGCCCTTCTCCGTGTTTTCTCTTTTCTATGCTAGAAGTGTTTTTCTTCGATTTTCTGCGTCTTCTTCCTCTTTTGGGCAAATATTTGCTTTCACATTTACTTCTGTGCTTTTAGGTTATCCCTTTTCAACCTGTTTTCCTTGAGATATTCTCTTTACCTTTGCTTCTCCCTCAGGACTTGCTTGCAGAACAGAAAAGTTTTATGTAACATTCTAGTTGAAGAGATGTCATGAAATGGTGCAGAGAATAAACAAGAACAATTTCAGGAAACATTATACTTTACACTAGCTTCCCCGGAGACGTTAGAGAAGTTTCGCCATTTGAGGCCAAAAAAGGAACTGTGGAACACCAGTTGAACAGTAGATGGGCTGTATGACTACTTTAAGATTTTTATGTGTTAGGATTAAAATATTTTTTGTTATGACCAGCTTTAGATTATCTGTATTATGATTAAATCATTTTTGACTAAAAATTAAGATTAAAATCCACAACACGTGATTGTATTTGACACTACACTCCAGCTTGGGGGCGCATAAACTAGTTAATTGTGTATTATATTAGAATATGATAGTACTTTGGAGAAGAAATATAAAAGGCCGTTAGGAAATTGGTATTTGGGGAATTTCAGTCAGTTAAGAAAAGGTATGCAGTAATACAATAATATGGAATGTGACTTTGACCATGTTCTTCTCTAAAAAAACTTTTAGTAGATTTATTTATCTCACACCAGGATATTGTGGCTGCTGAATAAGTTGTGCGTGTGTGTGTGTGTGTGTGTGTGTGTGTGTGAGAGAGAGAGAGAGTGAGAGAGAGAGGGAGAGAGAGAGAGAGAGGGAGAGAGAGAGAGACAGAGAGAGAGAGAGAGAGAGAGAGAGAGAGAGAGAGAGATCTCCCAGAGGGGCCTCCAAAATGTTAGGTCAGACCTGCCGGGGTGGGGTTGTGCAATCCAGTGCTGTGTGAACGGTGTAAGGAATTGCACAGAAGTTAGATTGGAAAATATAGTTTATTTAAAAAGTAATTTAGGGAGGAGAGATTCGCCTCGTCAAGGGGAGGGAGCCAAGGCAAGGAAACGTGACCATGGCTCAAGGAGCAACATGGTCAGATCATAAGCAGAGCAGTGGCTTTTAAACATTCCCCTTGATGGGGGAGGTCGTTAAGGTGGTTGGCTGGTGGTCTGCTGCACATCATCACAGAGGGCAGGTAAGCACAGGTACTGACATCAGGTGATAGAGGCCGGCAGATGGATGGGTTAGTCACATGATTGCTGCCATGGTGATGTCTTGTGTTATAGTCTGTGTTATGAAGGTCAGGAGGAGCTGATTAGGTTAACTTGGGTCTTATGAGTGAAGGCAAATACTTGAAATCGAAAAGCTAATTAGCACAAAAGAAGCTGCGGAGGTGGTTGTAAAGCAATAGCTACCTCTGAGAAATTGCTTCTGTTCTTGGCTAGTGATTAGAGGGTAGAGTGAACTGTTGCCAGGCGTGGTGGCTCACGCCTGTAATTCTAGCACTTTGGGAGGTGGAGATGAGAGAATTGCCTGAGCCCAGGGATGGAGACCGGCCTGGGCAACTCGGTGAGACCTTGTCTCTACAATAAATTAAAAAAAAAAAAAATTAGCCA